TATATTATGAGATTCATAAAAGTCCAATTTTTGCATTCAAACTTTGAAAATTATATTTTGATATATGAAATATTTTTAGTACTAATTAAATAATTTCCCTAAATACATACTCTGGTATTTGTTCTATTCCAAATTTATTGTTCTGATTTCTCGATATTTTTGTTTATTACTATATTTTTATTGATTAATTTATAAAATAAAATATTTTTTCCATCTTTTATTTTGTAGAGATATAATTTGATAATAATTATTAGCCTTATTGAATATTGAAAGATACATTCATATTTATAGGGATTAAATGAAAGAGTTCTAGTCATAGTAGGTGAACAACTATGATAACAATACAATGAAGAAAACAATATGATAAGGAAAGTAATTAAATATAATATTTATTATCTAGTATTCCTAATATCTCTCGTGAGCTGATCATCAGTAAAGAGAGGTAGCTTGGAGCACATGTATTGGAATTGAGCTAACAGATGTAGTTTTATGAGTATAACCTCTAGATGTATAGAGTCAGATCTTTGTTGCATGATGAAGAAACTTGAGATTACATTTGTTGAGTTTTTTTCCGATGAGAGTGTTGGCGATTGGAGCAAGAGCGAGAAAATTCTTTTTTCTCCTTTTGGTCTTCTCTATCGTTTTCCATGTTCTCGATCTCTAGAAAATGCTAAAGCACAGATTAATGTAACTTTCTTGTTCTTCGATCACGCACATGATTTTTTGAAAGAGAGAGAGATAATGGATTTTTTTAGAGCAAGAGAGGGATAATGGACGGAAGCTGTTGGGCACGCTCGTCGAGATCGATAGGTGGCGCCATGCTGTTGGACGATCGATCGCCGTGAACAAAGATCGGCGATGTGCTTGATTGGAAAAGGAAGGGCTAGGCTTTTGAGAACCTTAGCTCTGATACATGATACAATTTAATAATAATTGGTTTTATTAAATATTGAAGGATACATCTCTATTTATATGGATTACATGAGAGAATTATAATGATAGTAGAAGAGCAATGGTGCTAACAATACAATAAAGAAAACAATATGATAAGAAAAGTAATTAAATATAATATTTATTATCTAATATTCCTAATATGTAAAAATTTTGACATCGTTTCTTAATATTTAAATTTTATTTTTTCTTTACAAATTTGTAAATTTAAAGTATGAAATCTTGTTCATAGTAAGAAGAGTGTAATTTATTCCAAACAGGCCCACATAACCTTTCCCAAATTACCAGAGTGTAGTCGCTGCGGTGCGAGTTTTTCTTCTTCAGCACGAGACGGAATAATCTAATTAAAAGGAAAAACATGTTCATGACTAAGGTATGCTTTCACAATGACTATTACTCAGTACTCACCCCACATCTTAGACTACTATGCATTTTTACTTTTCTTTTTATTTGTTAATTTGTTTCCCCTAAACATGTGTCTATATTTATATACTCTCTGTCTCTATTTTGATTAAAAATACTCCCTCCGTCCTATATCTTTCTTCCCGTTGTGCAAAACGAAGAAAAATCCCAAGTTTTTTCAATCTATTTTATTTAAATATTGGTATAGAAATAAAAAATAAAACATACATATTTAAAAACTACATCAAAAGTTCAACAAAACAAGTGGTGACAAGAATATTTTATTTTATCATATAGGCCATGAAAAAACACAAATAAATATAAAATCCCGTGAAATTGGAATAGTGCTATGGGAAGAAAATTTTAGGACGGAGGGAGTAATAATTATGAAGTGAAATTCACAATTTTTTAAATTATTTTATTTATAAATTGGTACATCAATAAAAAATAAAAAGTACATGTTAAAAAACTACTTCAAAAATTCTACAAAGCAGGATGTGATAGAAATATTTTATTTTATCAAATAATCAATGAAAATACACAAAGAAACAAAATTTATCGAGAAGAGAGAGAAAAAATAAAATTATAATCAAAATGGGAACGAAGGAAGTAGTGTATTTGGAAAAAAACATTATATGCATTCTAAGTTGCATATAAAAATCATGAACATTTTTACCTAAGAAATAGTGTATACTACTTTTCTTTTTGTTTCCGTATGTTCGAGACAAAAGTGGAAAGTTTTTATGGACGAAGTGAAAAATAAAAGTGAATTTTTTTAGACGGAGTGAAAAAGGAAAGTGGAAATATTTTTGGGTGTAATAAGATATGTAAAACCAAAAAAACAACTACGTTAGTACGTTACATAAAATCTAATTTTTCTTTTACAAACAAATTATTACCCATAACAACTATTTAAAAAAACACTATATTTACAAATTGTACATATTACTTCTTTAACTTAAATCTTAAAAAATAAATATACTTAAGTAGACTGCGTTACCAATAAAAAAAATCAATTATCGATCAGTTAGCTATAAGACACAATTCACAGAAATCTTTAATTAAAATTAAATCAAAAAATAATCTACAAAAAAAAACTTTGAATTTTATCGTGCAACGCACGGGTGGACATGTGGAATACTAGTTTAGATCAATAATAAAAACGCGCATATTTGATTAATTTCTTGTTGCATGAATCTCAACTGTAGAAAATATATTCGATGGTTCTGGCGTCCGTCTCCTTCAGCCACATCTGATGACTATGGGGAAAATTAAAAGGAGTGTTTAATTTGTTTGTGGAAAACGTGTTCCAGTTTAAAATTTTTAAAGCGCTCTCCCTTTCCTTTTTGTTGACTGCTTTTTGTTACTCCGTATGATTTTTGTAAATCAATTTATGTGAAAAAACTTAAAATATTAATTTTAAAAAACTATATACTTCATTCCTCCGAAAAATCATTTCTAGATTACTATGAACAACGTGCAAAATCCAATAATTTTTAAAATGATTTTTTTTACAAATTTTACGTCGTTCTAAACATTTTATTTTATTTTACACAACAAGACGTGCCATAAATATTTCATCTTATTTCACACAGCAATACATCGTTCTAAATATTTTATTTTACACAACAATGACATAATTTTTTGAGACAGAGGAGTGTCATGCATATAAAAAATATGGAGTAAGTTTTTTTACAACAATATTTGTTAACATATTATGACAACAACACTTAAAGTCTTTCGATTGAAAAACTGATAGTTTTTATCGCAAATCTTTTCTAAACACCTCGTGCCTCCGCCCTATCACTTCTTGCCCCTCTTCAAAATGGCAAAATACTGACGTTTGAAGGGGGTGTTGGGAGTGGGGGTTTATGGGGTATAGGGGTAGGAAGAATGGATGAAAATTGAGAGTGAAATGGAAAACCACTTCGCCAAAAAAAAAAAAAATCAAACTGGTCAGGCAACAGCAGCCGTGTGCACCAGATTTGTCCACCTTCTTTGACCGACCAATAGTAAGTAAGTAATTTGGTCGTAGCATACTTTTCACCCCTATTCTTTCTTTCATACCATGCTAAGTCTTTTTCACCAAAATACTATCACGGTTAAATAATCTCATTTTTTATAGTTTACCAAAAATAAACTTGATTTACATTGTAGTCTCAAATGAGCGAATTTTAACTTATGCTTGCGTGTTTTCGGCTCTTGTTAGGCCTTGTTCTTTTCACCTGATCTGAAGGTTCTGATTAGTTTGGAATAAGTTCTGATCTGATATGATGGAAATCATATTTAAAGTTGTTTCTTATCTGTTTTTATTTGATCTGATCTAGTCTAATGTGATTTCAATAAAAAAATTAATAAGTAATAAGAATAAGTTGAAAAGAACGTGACCTTAATTCGCTAATGGGTAAAAGTGGATGAACCTTTCTTTTTTGCAAATCTTAAAAAATGTGGAATTATTTAATTTGAAGCAAATTGTTGGTAAAGGGTGAACTCATTTTTTTTCAAAGTTTTAAATATACTCCGTAATTTTTTGAAAAACTAAATTTTTAAAATAAAAAATAGAGTTTAAATATATAATGGTGCACTCTTATTAATTAGATATGTGTTATATGGAGTAGTTTTTTGACAATACAATGAATATTGTTGCAGTGCCGTTTCGTGATTTAAAAATGTACAGTGTGATGATTCTCTCTAGAAGAGGGTTTTTAATTGTGTTTTTTATTGCAACATAATGTTGGAAGTAGGTATGGTTGCTCACTAGTAAGATTCAAAATCGATGTTACCTTTGGTTTCTCAATTAAACCATGTCTATTCGACTATTCATTTAAAATTCTTACTATTCAAATATTAATGGAATACGAATTCGAAATTAATTTAAAATTTCTCTCGTATTCTGATTTGAATTTGTATTTGAAAAAATAACGAAATTCAAATTTAAATATTTTAGTATTCGATTCATTTACAAACAAACTGAGATTGAGATAGTATAGTATACATACTCTTTATACGGGTATATACTATAATCAAAGTTTGTACTCCGTATTTTGCTACAAGAATAATCTTATTACATTTATCTGGTAAAATATTTTTTAAAGTATTGAGGTTTTTGCGGGGGTGGTGGTTGTGTTCGGGTCGGGGCGGGGTGGGGGTTTACCGGGGGGTAAGAACCGTCAATTTTACGAACGGGGTACCGGAGTACCCTCGGGTCATCCCATGACATTGCTTTGGAAATCAATGTCATGGAAACTGGCCGGCCTCATCTTTTATTTAATTATAAATCAAAAGTCTATCTTGGGATGATGATTACTACCTCCGTCCCAGAGTATTTGTCCACTTTCATTTTTACACACCATCCAATACACTTCTTTAATCCATTTTATCTTTTAATTTGTATATTAAAAAATTATAGAAATTATATATTAATAATCTATATGTTAAGACAAATCAAACAAGATCACACATGACTATATTTAGGCTTACACATTGAGAAAATTTGATGAGTCAAAGTGCTTAGATGAACAGTTCCAAAAGTCAAAACTGGATGAATATTCCGGGCAGAGGGAGTATTTTTGTATGTTCAAAAGAACTTTCAGCCTCCACTTTTTTACACTATAAACACCGTATTTCAACCATGCACTTTTCAGTAAATAACTTTGAGTTTTCAATAGTTTTTTTTCAAACTCATTTGAATTGAAGGAGTGTATAAAAGGCCACACGTTCTTATATATTCATCCTCTCCGATCCGATCTTCTTCCATAACATAACATATACTCCGTATTATTCCATCATGGAGGCATATCTACCAACGCCGTCGTCTTCGTTGTTTCCACTACGTTCTTTGTCTTCTTCTCCTTCTCCTCCGCCTTATAGCGTAGAAGTTCCTAAAGGGGAGGCGAAAGGTGAGGAGGATAAGGAATCGGCCGATGAGAAGAAGATGAACAAGAAGAAGAAGGCGAGATACGCTTTCCAAACAAGGAGCCAAGTTGATATTCTTGACGATGGTTATAGATGGAGGAAATATGGTCAGAAGGCCGTGAAAAACAACACATTCCCCAGGTTGGTTTCTTCATTCTCTACTCCATAAGATTGCTTTTTTTTTCTTTTGTATTCCCTCCAGGAGCGGATCTACATGTATGAATACGGGGCAGTCGCCCCAGTCAATTTTTTTACTCCGTAAACAGTATTAAAATACTCCGTATTATTTTGTAGAGAACTAAAAGAAAGACCTCGGTAAAAAATTAGTTTGCCCCCACTGAGAAAAGAAAATCTTAGTTTAAAAGTAAAAAATAATCACTTAAAAACATATACACGTAAAATATTTGAAATATTATAATTATATTATGTTATGATATATTTTATATTTTATTTTTCTACTTTAAAAATAATTTTTTTATTTGAATACTTGTTTGAAATTAAATTTATTAATTTTTTATCATCATCAAACACTTTTAAAATTTCGGAAGTGCCACCCTTGAACCCCACCATACTCTTTAGTGTGTATTTGCCCCAAGTCATATTTTTTTCTGAATCCGCCACTGATTCCCTCCGTCCTAAAACCATCTTCCCGTTTGTGTTTACGAGGTTTGACCGATTTTATTTTCAATTCAGTTTATTTGATTGTAGGTGTAAAATTAAAAAAAATTACATATCTAAAAACTACATTAAAAGTTCTACAAAACGAGAGGTGACAAGACTATATTATTTTATCAAATAAGTAGCAAAAATAGGTAAAAGAAGTGATTTAAATTTGACCGTGTGAATAATAACTGAGAAGATAGTTTTAGGACGGAGGGAGTATCTCACTAGTCTGACTTTTTTGGTTAAATAGGATGAACTTTAATCATCAGTTATTCTCATATTGTATTACTCCGATCCCTTCATTCTTAATTACTGTCCGTTTCGTTTTATGTCTCAAACATTTGGCTAACTATATATAAAAATATACGATGAATTAAAATATAAAAATTTTACTGATTTATTGGTATGGAAAATACTTTAAACGTACTTTAATACCTTTTTTGCTAAAATATGTTAAAAGATATTGTTAGTCAAACATCAAGTTGAAAAGCGAACCAAACAGTAAAATAAGAATGGAGGGAGTATAATACAATGAATTAAAATATTAACGGTTCTCAATGAAAACACCAATTCATACGGTATCGTATCAGGATAGGGAAGGATTTCGAGCACCTTCGAGCTCCAAGAACAAAAGAGGCGAGAAAGAGAGAGAGATTGGGGTTTAGGAGGAAATATTTTCTTTATTCATTGAGTAATAATTTTATGAGTAATGACTACATATATAGATGGGTAGATCTAGAGAATCCTAACCATACAAGGTAACTAAATAAACCATAATACTAATAATCTAATATAACTATACTTCCTAATTATAATATAATTACCTAACCATAAATAATAAAACTACCTATAATAATAATAATAATAATAGTAATATGATATTACTATTCGGTCCCGTTAAATTTTAGTGCTATTTAGTGTATAATGTAGATATACACTCAAAATGACATCAAGAGTTTCCGGTGTTCGATAAAAATTTTAGTGCTATTTAGTGATATTTAGTGTTACTACTAAGGGGCATTATTTAGTGTATAATGTAGATATAATGTATCAAAACAATTGTGTTTGATAATGTTTAGTGTATGTTACAATTAAAAATTAGTTGTAGTAATATTTTTATTCAATTGAATACTTTAAATTAAATAAATAAAATCAAATTTAAAAAAAATTAAAAGTAAGATTTATTCGGTCCGGTCCCGGTCCGGTCCGGGTTTTACCGGTCCGGTCTCGGGCCGGTCCTTAGCTTGATCGGTCCGGTCCTCGGTCCACCAAATGCCCCTTATTCGGTCCCGTTAAATTTTAGTGCTATTTAGTGTAAATATTTCTAATATAATACTAATAATGGTAAATAACGGCCTTGTTTGGGAAAAGCGTTTTCAATTAGCGTTAGCGTTTTGGATAAAATATTAACGGCAGTGTAGATTAATTTGGAAAACGCTAACGATAAAAGCTGCCGTTAGATAGCCTTTTCAAAACGTTAATGCTAATCTCTAATGTTGACGCCAAACGGGGCCAACAAAATAGAGTCACGTATCATAATATTATTTAATTAATGTCTAAAATTCATCTAATTTGACTCCTAAACATCCAATTGGATGAATATATTAAAACGGATGAAGCATTTGTTAAGTTTATTTGACTTGTGATTTTTATTGAAAATAAGGATTTACTCCATTAAAGGTTGAAATACTTCCAATTCTTATGAATAAGATGGAATGGCGACTAAGCAAAACTCTATCCTACGTATACAAACACACATTCACTACTATTAATTACTTGAGTGAATTTCCAAAACGGTCCTTTCTAATACGATATTTTTTCAATTTAGTTCTTAATAAGTAATAATTACTTATGTGCTCTTTTATAATTTAGATTTATTCTCTAAATGGTCCTCTGTCAAAAATATCTATTAAATGTCAGTAAAATAGAAGGTATTTTGGTATATTTTATCATCTAAATTAAAGTATGTTCTCGAAATGCTCATTTATAATTAAAAATATGAAACTCTTATTTTGGTACTTTTTCCATGTTTTATTCAAATTTAATCTTTTTCTCTTCAACTATGATCTCTTTTTATCTTTATATATATATATATATATATATACACACACACACACACACACACACACACACTGTCAAGGAACCAACTCAACCACAAGCTCTAGGAATGATTGTTATATACTCTAACACGCCCCCTCACGTGCAGGCGTGACCTCTTTGAGCCTTGCACGTGAAACCTTAATTTTTTTAAACTGGGTGGCAATGAGTTTCGAACTCGTGACCTCTTGGTCATCAAGACTCTGATACCATGTCAAGGAACCAACTCAACCACAAGCTCAAGCTTGTGGTTGTGGCCTAGGAATGATTGTTATATACTCTAACACACACACACACACATATATATATACATACACACATACATACATACATATATATATATATATATATATATATATATATATATATATATATATATATATATATATGTTGAGTGTAATCAAATATCTGGTGCTTTTGAACTTTGAGATAGAATAATCGATTATCAGAGGGTAGCACCACATATTCGATTATCGATTATCACCTTTTGTCTCTTAAGGGTAATCGAATATCTGGTGCTTCGTAACCAATTTTGTAAGGGTAGCAGCTAAAAATAGAGCGATAGATCTTCATTGTATGACGAACGAACTTAAGAGTACATTTGTTGAGTGCTTTTGGGTGAGTGTGTGCGATTGGAGAGAGGGCGAGTAGTTTATTTTTTCTTCTTGTCGGTCGTTCTCTTCTCCTTTTATCATTTTCCAAACTCTTGAGCTCTAGAAGAAACACAAACAAATATATTTTTAATTCTTCAAGCACGCACAAAAAATTTTGTAAAGAGAGGGAGAGGGGGATAAGGGAATGCAGTTGTTAGCTAGGCACACTCATAGTTTTTAAGAGATAGAAAGAAGAATAAGGAGCAGTGAGGCTATGATTCTTGGCTAGAAGTAGAGTGATAGATCTTCCTGACATGACACTTGAGAGTACATTTGCTAAGTTTTTTTATCGGAAGAGTGTTGGTAATTGGAGTGAGTGCGAGGAGTTTTTTTTCCCTTTGGGTCGTTCTATGCTTCTTTATTGTTTTCCAAGCTCTCGAACTCTAGAAGAAACATACACAAATTTAGTTTTTCAGGGCTTTAGTCACGCACATGAATTTTTTTAAAGAGAGATAGATCTTTGTTGTATGACAAACGAACTTGAGAGTACGTTTGCTGGGTTTTCTTCAGTGAGAGTGTTGGCAATTGGAGATAAGACGAAAAGTTTCTTTTTTCTTCTTGTGGCCCATTTTCCGCTTCTTTATCATTTTTAGAACTATAAAGGAAACACGTACAGATGTACTTTTTCAATTTTTCAGTCATACATGTAAATTTTATTAGAGAGGGATAAGGGACGACGGTTGTTAGCTATGCACGCTTATAACTTTTTGGAGATAAAAAAAGAGATAAGTGACGGTGGGACCATGATCTGTGGTGGTCTATCATCGATGATGAAGACTGGCGGTGACACAATCAAAATAAAAGGGCTAGGTTTTGGAGAGCGAGACCTTAGTTTCGATATCATAATACAATTTCATATTTTATTGAATAATGAAAGATTACATGAGTATATATATATAGAGAATACATGAAAAATCCTAATGATAGAAATAAGGAAATGTGGTAACAATAAAATAAGTAATAATAGTAATCTATTTCCTAAAATATTTCGATACATAATTTGAAGATCTATCTCTCTCTTTTAAACATTACATAATTTTACCTTGTAATTTTATAATAATAATAATAATAATATGAAATATGCACGTGAATAATTTTTGGGTCATTGTTGAAAGAAAATAAGAGTTAAAAAGTTAAAAAGTGTTGTATCAAACTTGAAGGAATTGAAAGAAACGGGAAAGATTAGAAAAAAATTGGAGAATATTGAGAAAACTAAAAAAGTTTAAAATAAAAAGAAGTAATTAAAAATTGTAAGAAGTTAAAAGTTACAGAGTATATCCTTAGCCTCCGTGGTCCCAAAGTTCACATGTAAAAGATGCTTCGTTCGTAAAATTTAAGGTTTCTACCCCGGTAAACCCCCCACCCTGCCCCATTCCGAAGCCACCGCCCCAACCCCTTATATTGCATCGAGTTTAATTGATTTTGAAGTCAAAATTTTGACTCCGGAATTAATTAAACTTGGGGGATGCAATTAAAGAGAGTGGGGCGGTGGGTTCGGGATAGGATGAGAGGGCTTACCGGGGTTAGGAGGGTTAAGAACTATCAATTTTACGGACGTAATATCAAGGGAGCCAAGGTGTTAGAAAATAAAATTGCTTGTTTGGTGTGTTACATATCTCATTAATCATATTTAATTACTTCCCCTCGATCTCTTACTACAAGAAAATATATTCTAATTTTGTAGGAGTTACTATAGGTGCACACATCAAGGATGTAGTGTGAAGAAACAAGTTCAAAGGTTATCCACAGATGAAGGGGTTGTGGTAACTACCTACGAAGGCGTCCATTCTCACCCAATTCAGAAATCTACTGATAACTTTGAAAACATATTAAGTCAGATGCAAATATATCCCCCTTTTTGATCCATTTCCCCTATGTGTGTGTGTGTGTGTGTATATATATATATATATATATATATATATATATATATATATATATGGACACATACACAAATAACACAATCAAGCTAGTTCTCTTACAATTGTACTAGCAAATACTAGGGAAGATTTGTAAAGATTATTCTTATAACAAATTGTAAATATTAGTGCTTAGTACATTGATACACCAGTTTTTCTCTCGTGCTTCACACAAAATTATTGGTGTGACAAATACAAAAGGGAAAAAGAGAAATTTTATTGGCTTTCCTTATTTAATGTTATTCCTATTGTGGTGGAAATAAAACTATGATAGGTGTAGAATTATGGTAGTTTACTTATTTGTTTTGTTCCTCTTCCTAAATAAAGGCGATTAGATGTTTGTATTTTACAAGATAATTCAATATATAGAATATTCTTTTCACTTATTATATTACATGGCAGTGGAGCAGCCGAACTTAGGAAATTTCGAATACTAAGTCGGACTACCTCTGCCGTCGTCAATATGACAAAAATAGAGGAGCCCATGACCGGAAAAATTTTCGATGACGAAGAGAAGGCCTCAACAAAGGGAAGTTCAAATGAACTCAAAAATGTCGATACACTCAGATTAATCATCACTCAAGTCAAATTAAATGGTGATATTGATGGATCAATCCCTTGTCCTAAAGAGGGAAATGAAAATTATGAAGAATGGTGGAATGTAAATGTCATGTTAGTTTCATGGATTTACAACACCATTGATGGAAGCTTGAGAAATTCCATCATGTGGGTTGAGAAGGCTATGAAACTCTGGAGAGATATAAAGGACCGTTTTTCTGTTGCAAATGGCCCGCCAATTCATAATCTGAACAAAGAACTTGCAAATTGCAAGCAAAACGGGTAGTCCATTGTTACATGCTTTGAAAATTTAAAAGGGATCAGGGATGAACTCAGTGATCATGAAAAAATTTCTACGTGCAAGTGTCATGGATGCAAGTGTGCGTAAGCAAGGTTCTTGCCATACAACGAGATAAAGAAAAAGTTCACCAATTCCTGATGGGTTTGGACAACGAAGGATATGAAAGTCTCAGATCCAATATTTTAAGCACTGAATCCCCGACACCATTGAATCATGTTTACTCGACCATCATCGAGCAAGCTAAGAGGGCGTCTTGAAAATCACACAAGAAGAACAAAATCCAGTGAGTTTCGCTATCATTTTTAAATTTGATCGTGAAGCAAATAAGGAATTGAATTACAAGCACGGTGGGCTAAATGGACACGAGAAGAGTGGTTGTTTTCAACTTGTTATGTATCCAGAATGGTGGGGAGATCACTCACGTGTCTTAAACCCAGGGCGTGGAATGAATTGTGGTGGCGGCTCTAGAGGACGCCTTGGCGGCAGGGGGCAACACCCACTGTGGCAATAGAAACTGAGGTGGCGGTCCGGTGGCATTGACAGCTCAGGCCAACATGGAAGAAGGAGGAAGAGGAGCTACTAATCCGAATCTCTCGTGCCTCACAACTAATCAATGGAATGCTCTTATGGGACCCCTAAACGACAAAGAATCGGGTATTGAAAATAAATTTTCAGGTATGCCTAACACCTCTTGAGTTATTGATAGTGGTGCTAGTCAACACATGATCGGTGACGAAACATGTTTCGTAAAATTAGAAACGATAACGTATTATTATATGTTAAAGGATGCTAGTCTATGAGTTGGTTCTAGCATTAGATACTTCCACTCTCCCTATTTTTATGGTAGGAATCAAGGATTAGACGAGGAGCAACCTGGATGACAGTGAGGCATGACGCTGGTGGATGGCCCGAAGCTGGTTGTTTTAAATTAATTATATTTTGATAAATTTGTTTATTTAAATTATAAGGATGTTGGATATTGTTTTAAAGGCTTCCACAACGTTTGGATCTTGTTACTCCGATTAAATGATGATTTGACTTTAAATAAATGTGATTAGATGTTTTATTTTAAATGTTTTTAAAATAGTATGCATGTGAATATCAAATTAGTGGCAACCCGATTTGCTAACTCGTTGGTTCGGGTTACGCGGGTTGGAGTGTTACAAAAACTTGATTTAAATTAAACTTATAATTATTACAAAAAATTTGATGAATTTAAAGTATTACAATTCATATATATATATATATATATATATATATATATATATATATATATATAAGAAAATCATTCACAATAACTAATTTTGTTCTAAATATACCCTGTGTATATTAAATATTTTTAAATTTAAAAATGAGTATTTTTAAGTATAAAAGTATTTATGGTTTTAAAAATTATGTTTTGTATAATTCTTTTATATAAACAAATGTTTTTCTATAAACAAGTATTTTAAAACAACTCTTTTAATATACAAAAAATATAACTTTTTAAGGCTTAATATTGCTTTCATGCATCATTTCTACAAGCTAAGTAGTTAATAGTAATAATGGTTTGTAGTTCATATAATAATAATAAATATAATAATAATAAACATATTTAAAGTTATAATATCAATTAGTTCATTCGTTCTAAATTTTTTTTCCTAGAACGTTTTAGGACATAGGCAATAATATTTAGGTGTGTAGCTTTAGATAAAGTAATGTAATTTAACTGAACGGTAATTTTTATTTAATCTTAAAAAAATATAAATATTATTTTTATAATTTTTTCCCAAAATTGATCTAATTAGATCTAATTTAATTTTAATAAAAATAATGAAAAAGAAAATAAGTCTTAGTTATAATTTAATTAGGATCGTATAAGATTTTTGGTTTAAAATGTGCCTTCAGGTTTCAAATCTTCTATTTTGGTTCCGCTTTTGATTCGAGTCATTGGGTCTGATTCTTTGCTAGGTTTGCTTGTAGAGGCGTGTCTATAAGACAACGAATAGATCGAAGTCGCACCTCCGCAAGGACAAGGTGTTAAACGTAGAAAGAGATTCTCGTACTCGGACATTTTTGCGCGTTGTTTCCGTGGCTGTTCTTCTCCGTTCTCGCTGGTAAGATCTTCAATTGCCTCTGATATTGTCGAGGTTAGGTCTGACCAGATCCGCGGAAGGAGGAATCGAATCTCTCTGAATTCGGCTATTGCCGCTTTTGTCTCTGATTGAATTGATTGCCATATCTGGATTAAGGAGTCTTGTTTGTGGCCTTTTTCGTCTGGTTTTCTTTATTGTATTTGTAACTGTTTTTCGTAGATCTAGGGTTTTCCGTTTGAGGAATTTGAGTTGATTTGTGCTTTGTGTTTGATTGGGGATTTCGTTCCTATCGTTCTTTTTTTAGTCTGAATTTATTAATTGAGAAGGGTTGTGGTTGTTGTTATTGATTGATATGGCGGCAGCCCGGGTTGATGTCTTTAGGAGAAGTGATGTTGGGAGATTGAATCCGGGTCAGTGTCATGCTCTTCCAGATGAGAATGGATATAATTTTCCATCTAGCAGGCACCGCTTGGCTTCCCAGAAGAACAATCGGTGTGAATTGGATCGGAGACGATGTGAGTTAGATGTGTCTTTGAAGGAAGGTAGAACATGGGCTTTGAATGATGGGGATAAACAGCCCCCTCAGAAGAAGAGGAAGTCTTCTCATATTGAAGGTGACATAAAAGAGAAGCAAGTAAGGGTTTCATCTAGGAACAGGGTTTTGTCATCATCTACCACTCTGTTGTCTCCAATTTCTGATGTTGATTTATCTCCTTCACTGTCTCCTCAGCAATTTCAGGATGTTCAGCTGGAACAAGTTTTAGCAGGGGAAGTTGTTCAAGCGCCTAACTTACTCACATCACGTTGGGCATCTGATAGCGATGATGAAGATGTGGTCCAAAGCGAGAAAAAGTGTAGGAGTTCAAGTCTCGAAAGTGGCGAATTTAAAATTGAGGACTTGGAAGGGGACTGCGTGGTCTCAAACCGTTCTAATGAACGAAGCATCAGTGGCTTGTCTACTTGTGAAGATATGGAATTTAAGGCTGACTATGATTCTGTTATGGAGTTTGATAGCATGGATAAGGAGGATGTTGCTGATGAGTCAAAGTCAGATGCTGAAGAGTCAACAGGAAGATGTTGCAGAAGTGTTTTTGATTATGAAAGGCTGAACAAAATTAGCGAAGGTATTTATGGTATTGTTTACAGAGCTAGGGATAAGAAGACCGGAGAAATTGTGGCCCTTAAGAAGGTAAAGATTCTAAATCAAAGAGATGCCGAGGAATATGGTTTCCCTTTGACATCGTTAAGGGAAATTAACATTCTTGCATCTTTCAACCACCCTTCAATTGTAAAAGTTAAAGAAGTTGTCGTAGATGACCATGGTAATGTTTACATTGTTATGGAGTACATGGAACATGACTTTAAGGGGCTCATGGAGTCCATGAAACAGCCTTTTAGCACAAGTGATGTGAAATGCTTGATGTTACAGTTATTGGAGGGTGTCAAATATCTTCACAATAATTGGGTGCTCCATAGGGATTTAAAAACATCAAATCTTCTCTTGAACAACCAAGGTGACCTGAAAATATGTGACTTTGGTATGGCACGGCAGTATGGAAGCCCTCTAAAGCCATACACCACCAACGTGGTTACTCAGTGGTATAGGTGAGTTGTGTTCTCTGAAAAACAGTTCTGTAGCTGCCATACCTTTTTAATTTGCCATTATCTTTTATTTCCAAGCTTATATTTTCTGGAAATTGTTGTGTTGCAGAGCACCCGAACTTCTACTTGGGGCAAAGACGTATTCAACAGCAATTGACATGTGGTCTGTGGGGTGTATAATGGCTGAGCTTTTAGCTAAGGAACCCTTGTTCAGAGGGAGAAGCGAAATCGATCAGATAAAAAAGGTAATCAGTTTTCTTTTAAAACTCCCAGCACCCAGCTTTTAAATTCATTTTTAGGTTTTCTTTTATGTTCTAATGTTTTCCCTTGATGGTTGCAGATATTTGATATGCTTGGTACTCCCAATGAGAAGATTTGGCCTGGGTTTTCTGAATTACCAGGAGCCAAGGCCAATTATTCCAGGCAAAAGTAAGAATCTGGCTGTATAATTGTTCTTTTTTAGTATCATTATCATTTATTCTTTTGTTGCATGTTCTCATTGTATTGATATCGCTTTGCTCTTGTTTTTATATTTACTAATTTTACTTGTTTTATTCTTCCAGGCATAATTTGTTACGTAAAAAGTTCCCTGTAGCATCTTTTACAGGGTCTGCGGTTCTTTCTGATACTGGATTGGACCTGCTAAACCGGCTTCTTTCCTACAATCCCGAGAAGGTGCTATGCTACCACTTTAATAATTCAGCTCATTACTCATTGTTTTTTAATTGCACCTTGCTTTTTCCCTCTAATAGAAGTTTATGTTACTTTTGCAGAGGATAACAGCGGATGATGCTCTCAACCATGCTTGGTTCCATGAGTGTCCTCTCCCAAAGTCAAAAGAGTTCTTACCTACATTTCCACCCAAAGTGTAATTTGAACAGGTATTTGGCTTCATTCGGGAAGATGATGACACTTGAGAAAATGCATTTGGGATCCAATTTTAGGTTGCAGTTATGGCTGTTTATGTTTTCTGGAATGACTCTGAGGTGCATACTAGGAACTATGAAGGATCTGGATCAAATATTCATGGTAGAGTGTTGTTACTTTTCATCCATTGACTGTGTTACGGGACTGGTGCATAAGACCCATTTGTATTGGCAGATGATTCACACTATAGGTGCCACAGTTGATGTTTTGCAGGCAATCTATTGTGAAGAACTGATTTCATCATCCTTTGCCAGGCACATAGATGATTTTATCATTCTGTGAGGATTTGTGATTGTCCTTAGCTGCAATTCTATACAAAGGTCCAACTATTTCATATTACCTTTCTCTTGAAACTCTCCTTTCTCGATGTCCATATTGTAACTGATGCAACTTCTGTAAAAAATATATTTTGAACTACATTTGGAAATTATTGCTCACATAATTGTTTTCTTCAATGTTCACATTCCGTGCAAGAGTCCACTGATGTCAGGAAGCAGAGAGCCTTGGTCTTTTTCTACTCAAGGGAGTAAGTTTACTACTAAGGTATTTTTAAGCGATATTTGTGTTGTGCCCTTGAAATCAGTTTTCTGCCTCTTGCATGGTATTTAACATGATCATAAACATACTTGTCGATTAAGAGGATCCAACATTTTCAAGGACAAGTATGAGATGAACATGATAGTTGTTAACAATTTAGAACCCTTCTAGAGTCAAAATAACAAAAGTCACCAGCTTTTAACCCTCTTCTGGAGTTGCCTTCTCATCTTCTCTAACATAACCTGTGTTAAAACCACCATTTCACTGAAGTATCAATGCGTTAGCTGCAGTTTCCAGCAATTATTCGATCATCAGGGAAATCTGGAGGCTGTGAAAACAATTTGTTCCCCAGGTTGGTGTCTACCTCAGTACTTCTTTGTTCATAATTGTTTATTACTCTGTCTCCAAAAGCGTGCACCTTGCCATGTGAAAATGGCATAAAGATTAAAAGTGATAAGAGAATTATATAAATGTTCTTGTCTACCTTTTTTGATCTATTAAGGTCATACTCTCTGCGAGGTTTATTTCCTTTCGTGTTCTCCCAAAATAAGTTTCACTATCTTAAAATTAAGAAATAGAATTTCTTTAACTTTTAATTTATCTCTCCTCTTTCTCAAGGTTTCTCTCTATCATTTGTATTTCTACCTTTTATTTTTCAATACTTTTCTTTAACTTCCATAAGTCAAACCGTAAACTTCACTTTGAGATGGATGAAGTGTGTAAGTTGTTGAGGCTAAACATGTACGCATTTTTATTTCAGAGTAAAAGGAGGAATGGTAAAAAAAGGAAATAGGACCAATAGGTTGTTGATTTCGGGACAACCAAAAATTGAAAATGAAAAGTTAATTTTGGGACGGGATATTGGGATTATTATTCTCTTGCTTAAAGCGGTGAGATTGACAAATCTATCATCACTTATGGGTGTGTGTGCATTATGTGTAGTAATAATTTTTTTAACATTAATAGCACTATTACCAGGTAGGTTGTGTTCATACATTCTCACCCTTTTGAAGTCCCTAGAGTTATTGTCCCCACTGAGATTTCAACCCATGACCTCTCATTTGGGAGAATCACAGCGGTGCCATTGGACTACATGGTCATTAGCATGTGTAGCAATAATTACTTGTATTTCTTTTTTAATAGTACTCCTTATTAATGACTAGTCCCTCCACCAAGGACCTTATAGTTCAATGACATGACTCTCTCAAATGAAAGGTCTTGTGTTTGATCTCCGTTGGGCATCAAGGCAATATCTCTATGAGCTTCAAGTTGAAAATGTATGGACAGACATTACTTTGTAATAGAGTTATTAGTGTTAAAAAGACTTCTCCCTCCAAGCTCCATTCCACGGAAATTCTCGTTCTTTTTTCATTCATCTTAAAATTTTACTTTTTAAAAAAGTAATGTGGTTAAAAAAATTCCTTTTAACGACTTCCAACTGTTCACTTGTCTTAAAATTTGGCAAGTCAAACACAAGATTTTACTAGGATGGAGGCAGGTAGTGAATAAGAATATGTTGAAGAGAATAAGCTCTTACTTGGGTTGTAATTTTTGTCACATTGTCTTGACACAAATTTGTAAAATGAAACTGTAGTGTTTCTCGAGTTCATAGACCACTCAAATACTCTTCATAAGAAACATGAAGAAAATATTTCTTCAGCCAAACAAGAAAATTGGTAAGTTTTTGGAAAATGTTCTTTGTACTCCACTTGTTCTCTGTAAGTTGTAAATAATTTTCTTCACGCTGACAGTGGTCAAGTACTTGTTTTAAGCATTTGGGAACCATTTCTTTCCCTCGGAGGCTAGAAGAGTAAGACATGAAGTATGGAGTGTATGCTTTTGTGTTTCTATAGGAACTACCAAACCACATTTGCTATCTATTTTCTGAAAAAGAATGTGACCATTGTTTTAACTTCTCCTTCCTGAGCTATGGAACAAGAATCAAGTTCCCTCCTCCAAGGTCTTGTTCTCAATCATGAAATGTGAAATGTGAAAAATCATTGTATATCTACTATGTATATATTTCTATTTAATGTTCTCGTTTACATTTATGATGTATAACTAAAGCCATATTAAAATCCAATTAAATTTTGGTGTCAAGAAAAATAAAAAAAATACTTCATGCTATTTTTGGGACATGGTAGGGTGACATGAAAATTATGAAATAGTAAGAATGTGGTGTTGAAATTGATGTTAAAAAATAGGATATAGGGGGATGAATCTAAACCACATAAATGTAACCAAATTTAGAGTATACCTAGAATCTACCTAGATTTTAAAGTCGATATGTTAGATTGTTTGGTTCTAGTTCTTATGCATACTTGTTGCATTCCTAACTTTTGTCTAGGTATTTCAAGTTTTGAAAACATGACTAGCTAATTAAGTATTTCAAACTTTGTATAAATCTTTCAATATTTGGAATTGGTTGGTTTTGTACAAAATGTTACAAGTAGTTTTAACTTCAAGCTTCGTAAGTTTTAACTTCACCAAAATATGAAGTATTTGTAACATTTTCAATATATATATATAATTGCAAAGCTCACCAAGGTCAACTGCGAAGCTCACCAAATTGTATAGAAAAACACAACATGATTTTTTTACACTTAATTTTAAATTTTTAGTTTCAATGCTCACAAATCATAATTAGAAAGCTTACCATTTTTTAATGCAAAGCTCATTGAGCACATACATGAAGCTCATCAAATTTTTAGGTTGAAAAATTGAAAAAAATAAATCATAGGGTGACTTGGACCACCATTGATAGGTTACCAGCGGTTGGCGGCGGGGGTGGTCAAGGGGGCGGTTGAATTTAGCGGTCAACATGTGTCAAAGTCAAAGTCAGCACCTCTTCCTTCGTTTTTTTTCAAAAAAAATTTAAAGTGTAAAAAAATGGCAAGCTTTGCTATATATTTTGGCGAGCTTTGCAGTTGGTGTAAGTGAACTTTACAGTTGGTAGCTTTGAGCTTTGCGTCATTTAATCGTAAGGTGTCATTAAGGCATTAAGGGAGCTTGGCAATTACCAAGATTGCATAATTGACGATTCCTACTTTAATAATTTCAGCCTGATCTCCCACCCTGGATCGTTGATGTTATGCCCACAAGTTTACTATTAGAGCACCGTATTGAACTGGTGTCACGATTTCACACCAGTTCATCGACCTCACACCAGTTGAATTGGTGTCACAATCTTTCATTTTTAGACTTTGTGGGAGTGTGGGGGTTTATAGAGGGTAGAAACAATCAATTTTATGAACAATGCATTGCAAGTGCCTCGATTGTATTATTGTAACAAATGTAAAAATGATTGTTGTAAGAAATACTCCTCTCTCTCTCTATGATTTAGGTGAGAATGATCCTTATTATGAGAATGGTGCATTTTCATGGAGTTGGATGCATTTTACCTTTGTCGTACTGCATTTTCAACACTAATAGTAACAATTGATTTATTTTTAGAACTACCACTGCGATTTATTTTTTTTAGTTTTTTAGTAGCCCATAGATCTTATAACTTTTTCATATACAAGTCCGTTATTGGCAACTAATATGCCGTTAGGGAATCTCTTATTAAGATCTATCCAACGATACTAATATTGAATATGGAGTATCAGATTCTGAAAATTATCTTCACACTACAAAATAAAAAAGTCAAATTTATAAATATTTTTCTTTATTATTTCACCAAATAAGTATTTACTTCCTAAATTCTAATGTTACATCCTCCATCCCAAATTTCAACTCTAATTTTACTCGACACAATTTTTGAGTAGTGTTGACCGATTGAAAATGTGGATGCATTCTGGTAGCTGATATATGCATTGTGACTTGTCTATTAGACTTTATTCAAATTTTATTTTTTAATTTGTTGATTACTGAATAATGATGTAATAAGAAAGCTTGAGAATGTATTATATTTAAAATGAGTTTAGTATTAATTGTAGAAATAATTTGAGTATGCAATATTTTAACCCTCACCGTCATTCATAGGAATTTAAAAGATAAATAATGTAATTAAAAATTCTTTATTAAATTAAAATATCTAATAATATACGAGTAATATAAAATATTATTCTTTTAATTATAGTTGACCGGGTCGTTGATCCTCGGGTTGACCGATTAACCCTTTACCCACTAGCTTGTTTGGGTCAATGTCTAATCTAATTTTCAAGACATTGGTTTGGGAAGGTAAGTTTCAGGGTCGGCCCCGAAAAATGAAAAAATAAAATTGGCCCGGTCCAAAATTTACATTTTGGGCCCTATTTTATTTTTTTAGCATACTTTTGCTTTAAAATTATTATTAAATTTAAAAATGCGGGCCCTAAAATTTTAAGGGCCCTGTGCGATTGGTCACTTTGCACACCCTCCGGGCCACCCATGGTAAGTTTATATAAACCCTTTACTATAGTTTGTATGTCATTTACTTATTTTGTTACAGAGTATTATAGAATTATATTAATTGTCATTTAAATATAATTATTTTATACACTTTAATTTGTTAAGACATTAGGGTTAAGTCTTTTAGGACCTTTTTTTCTGTCTCGGTCCAGACCATCGAATTCCCAGGACCGTCCCTGGTAAAACATAAGGTCAAGCATGAGATAAAAATACTTACTATTTACTAAAACGTTTGTCACATTACGTAAAACAAAATGAAATACTCCCTCCGTCCCGCTATATTCGTCCACTTTTGACTTTTGGAACTGTTCATCTAAGCACTTTGACTCATCAAATTCTCTCAATGTGTAAGCCTAAATATAGTCATGTGTGATCTTGTTTGATTTGTCTTACCATATATATTATTAATATATAATTTCTATAATTTTTTAATATACAAATTACAAGATAAAATGGATTAAAGAAGTGTATTGGATGGTGTGCAAAAATGAAAGTGGACAAATATAGTGGGACGGAGGAAGTATCAAATTTTTTCATTCATTTTATTTAATGATGGGTATAGAAATAAAAAATAAAATTTACACATTTAAAAGTTACTTTTTTTTGTAAATAAAAGGTGACAAAAATATTTTATTTTGTCAAATAATCAATGAAAATAAATAAAATAAAACTTCTCGTAATTTATAAATAGTAATTTGTGATATTTTTCAGGGTGACCCTATGTCCCTCCTTAGATTCACAATAGTAATTGCAAACTTCGGTCCAAAAGATGGAATCGCCCACCCAGGCGCCCCCACCCCTGGCCCGACAGGGATGGTGGAGGAAGTAAATCATGGTGACTCAGTCGGCCAAGAACGCTAGACCCATGTCTACCGCGGTCAAGAAGCCTCCTCACCCTTTATGGGATTTTTGGATAGCTCCCACCCTGCCGCTTGCGGGACTCGATCCATGGTCATCAGTCCAAGATTTCACGTTCTTGACCAATTGAGCTACCCATGCGGGCTTATAGCAATGAAATACTTGACAAGAGCCTTGAAGGTTTTTGCTAATAGGAGCAGATTTAAATATCACCCGATGTGTAGGAATCTTCATATCATTAATTTAGCATTTGCTGATGATTTTATTGTGGTATGCAAAGCTGAGAAGGAATCGGTTAAAATCATACTTGAATACCTTTATTATTATTGGATGGATTAAAAATGAAAAATTTGCACTAAATAGAACTAAAATGTTGAAACACGGGCTTGTCACGTTTTCGTACTAAAGCCGTGTTTGTTTTTATGACAGGTTTTGATAATGTCAAACCACCGTGATCAATACACAAATTGAATATACAAGGCGAAGAACGAAGATAAGAACAAGAGCTAAACGAAGACCAAGAACGAAGACCATAGTCTTAGTATCGTTGAGTCGGTCTTTATTGTGATCAAGACCGACCCAATCTTTACACCTTGGCTCTTTAGGCTAAAACCTTTTCATTGCATTTCTTACATCATAAAAATGTTTTTAAAACATGTTTAAGTCATCAAAAACACTTGGTGTTCGCCCAAACCAAAAATCAAGCCATCCGGCGTTCGGCTTTCAGAAACTGGCGTTCGGCTTTCGGTTATCCGCGTTGGTTTTTGGGGTCCGAACCAACCAAGTGGTTTTCAATATTTTATGATTGTTTTTTACTTCTTGGCATGTTTAAACAGTTCTCCAACAAAAATACTTTGAAAACCACCTTTCGTTTTTGGTCGTTTGGCAAAAACCACGCAAAACGGCATAAACTTGGCTAGCCGTGGTTTTTACTCAAATGACGTGGTTTTTAAAGTGTCTCACTTGATTTCTTAGCCAAATACATCAAATAAGTGTTTTAAACACTTGGTTTTTATTTTTGAGAACTTTGGTTTTTTTCGGTCGGTTTTTGCATCGGTTGGCTAGGCCGTGGTTAAGGCAAAAACCATAGGTTTTTGGCTAACCACCCACCCAGCGATGGGAAGAACTTCCCATCGATGGGTAAGCGATCCCTTAGCAAAACCAATTTCCAGAACCATGCCAAACAGCGATGGGAGGTTCTACCCATCGCTGTTAAAGCCTTGGTCCAACATCAACACAAAGGGAGAACAACCTTACCCAACGATGGGGACTTTACCCCATCGATGGGAACCTAGCGATGGGAAGGCTAAACCATCGATGGGAAGTCATGACCGTTGTAAGTCATTTAAGGTTGATTCTTTCCTTGTTTGGAAGTCAACCTCCCACCCAGCGATGGAAAGCTTGTACCCATCGATGGGTAGGTGACCGTTGGCTTCAAAACTGAAGGAAAATTAGCCTACCAGCGATGGGTAAGATCCATACATTGCTAGGAAGCTAATATCCTGCAGATCCCAAATTTAATCAACCCCATAAATCAAGCAAATCACCCCTTTAATGCATTGGTTCGTTGGAGCCTATTTTGGCACTATAAAAAGAGGTATTTGGGTCTGCTTTTCTCATCAATTCACTTCACAATTCTCCTACTTTCATTGCATTCAAACAACATTCTTTTCATAGCTTTGTAGAGCCTATTCGTGTGAAGTTTGAGTTGTTCTTGAGCGTATTTAGTTTACTCAATATCTACTCTAAAAGAGAGTCTCGTTCTTGAGTGTATTTGTGTTCTAAGACACGTTGAGAGAAAGTATTTCTCTCGTTTGATTCGAAGGAAGGGCTGTTTCCTTCAAAGGTTTCGTTGAGGTTCGTGTGACTCGAATTCTCAAGTTGTAAGGGTTTGTTAAGCACCGTTAAGCTTAACGAGATAGTAGTGTAGCTCGAGAGAGTCTCTCGGGAGGCTGGATTAGCCACAAGTTGTGGTGAACCAGGGTAAATTCGGTGTGCCTCTTACTCTTCTCTTTACTTCTCTTTTAAATTTATAATTCCTGCGATTTCTACGATCAAATGCTATTCACTCCCCCTCTAGCGTTGGTCTTTCATTCTAACATAAAACATAAGCCATTTCCTAATGTATGACTTAAACTTTTTTATTCCCTAAATAGGATTTAATAATGTCTAGTAAAAGGAATAATGTCTAGTGATAGTGGACATTTACTTGAATAATGACTAGCTGATAATGACCAATAATCTTACATTGGAAAATAAAAACATATGAACCATATTGAAAAATTATTATGTTTTAGTCGTATTTAGGTAAATTCACCATTAAAAATCATGAGGCTGAGGAGATATTGTGTCTGGCTAATATGGATAAAGGGAAGCTACTCTTTAGATACTTAGGAGAGCCTATAACCGATAGCAAGATCAGTGACATAGAGTGTGAAGCTTTGGTTGTCAAGATAACATCAAAAATTAATTCTAGGGCAACTAAAAATTTGTCATATGCAGAGAGATGCAAACTTATTGTGTTGTTTGGTGTGATCTCTTTCTGGTGTAGGTTATTTATCATCCCAAACAAGGTGTTGCATAAAATCCAAGGCATTTGTAGGAATTTTCTCCAGGGTTCCAAAGCAGAATATCTTAATACTCCCCTAGTCACCTGCGATGAGGTCTGCAAACCAAAGATGGTTGGTGGATTGGGGTTTATGAATATATGTTACTAGAATGTAATCATAAATTAACTTGGTATATTACAAATAAGAAAAATATTTTATGAGATAAATATATTCATAGTAGGTACCTAAAGAGGGGTGCCATTTGAAATATCCCATATAAAGTTTGTTTTTGCTACTAACGGAAGAAGATCTTAGGGAACAGAAGACTGTTCGAGGGGATAAATGGTTAACTATCCCTAAGCACCATCCAGTTTTTATAATGGGGGAGAGCATAAAGATGCAAGGGTATTAGTTAGTACATAATAAGCCAACTATCCTTAAGCACCAGTTCCTACAATGGTTAGGATGGAAAAACAGAATTCTTATTAAAGCGAGACTTAACAAGTATATGAAATTTAATCTCTTGTGTTCTTTGCTCTAGTGATCCAGAAGACAAGAAACACTTTTTTATGCTTGTAAGTATAGTAAGGGGATTCAAAACTAA